GAGAGAAAACGTGATAAAAAGTCATACATATAACTATATTGTACCGACACCGTGTTTTTCTATGTATTCTTTCTCCCCCTCCCCCCTTTTTTCATAGAGTACTACTACTACTATTACTACTATCATATTATTACTATTACTATTACTACTACGACTATTACCATTACTACCGCTGCTGCTATTGCTAATTAACTGTTATTACGTTATATATCGTATAGCCGAATTCTGAGTCGCAGCGATCCGCTCGGGACGAAAACGACCCTCGCTGGTGGAGGATGAGAACGAAATAACGTATCGAGGCGCGTATAATCGCGCATTCTCCGATCGTCGCATTGCACGCGTGAGTCTTTTCGTTTCCTTTCGCGCAGGTGGAAAGTATTGGACAGCATCACATATCATACATAGCTAGCATCACTAACCTAGTCGTTAAAAAATAATTTAGATTGTTACTTGAAGACCGCCATTCGCATTTTATAAAAATTTTATAAAAATGCGAAATGCGAAATTTTATCGTAAGCAGATATACGAAGAAATGTGAAATGTTTCGATCTCACACTTGATTTCAATTCATTTTTTACGATTGTAACGAACCGAAGAGAGAAGATCCATAATCGAAAACCGACTGCTCTCTTCATTGTCTTTAACTTTGATCTCAACACCGAAGGTCTTTTATTGATTAGTCGTCTAATAATGTCCGAGAAATGTGCGTTCCTGTGCCACATTAATACAAGCTGTCATCTTTATTTTCTTCTGGGAAAAAATGTGCTGATTATTTTATAAGATCTCCGACTCATTGCGTTTTAGCTAAAAGAATATTCTTAAAGATTGATATCTTTAAGGAGATTTTTTTACGATAGTTTTGCGACAGTGTTACACAACAGTTGTTCATTAGATTTGAAATCGAAACCCGATATTTTCCACCTCGGGTCATCCTTTTCGTTTCTCATTCCAAGACTTCGTTTGTCACTCGGGAAAAATTTTCCCCGAGAAATTATTATTATTTTACTAATTGTAAGTTATTTAATTTCATTGCTTTTTACACGTGTTTACATCCACATCACATTACAATTTCTCTTCTTTCTTAGTCAGATCTTATTGTACAGAATTACACATATGTATATTTATTATACAACCTGTTATAATAAACAATCTTAGAAGATGATGTAGTAGAAGAACAAATTTTGCTACGATTGCCAATAAGTTTTTTTAATTTCTAATATTTTAATTATAATAAAGTGATCGTATATTACTTGTGTAAGGGATTATTGGGAGTTTTCTTGCTTATTTATAATAATATAAAGCGTTTGAGGATACACGTATGTAGATTCACTGGATCAAGAAAAATTCGAGTCGTTTTGATGAAGAAAAAAGAAAAACACTGCCAACGCAAACGAAAGTTCTTGCGTTTTTCTTCCGACTGACTGAAGACACACGCGAAGGCGTTCGATCCGGATCCGTTGTTTCGTCCTCCTAGATCGTTGCAAATTCCAAGTGATCGATAATAAATCCTCCCGAGGTGATCGATGCTATTACGAGGAGAAGCAGTGATAATTCCTTCTTCCTTTCTTTTTTTTTTTTATTTGCTCAGTCTGCACGACTGCGAGGTCCAATCGAAAAATGAGAAAATCCGGTCATATTATCTTTAACGTTGCTTTATCAAACAAATATTACTGTAACAAATTATAAAAAAGTTGTATAATAAGGTTTAATTATAACGTAATCTATATTTTTAGAAAAAATAAATATAAGTCAATTAAAATTCACCATTATTTATTAAAGGTCTTTAAATCTCAAGTCATTTGTTTGAATTTCGCGACGAGAATCTCAAATTTGGATAATTAAATTCTGGATAATCTTCGGCACTCGATTGTTCATTTCTACGGTTGGGCTTGCAAAAGGATGCAGACTGTTGCGTAAATGAAAGCTGGAGTTATCAAAAAGTACGCGTTTTTTTTTTTGCGTTGCGCGATTGTGGATCATAGTTATGAATTGTACGTGCTTGTTCGGCCGACCTAGGGGAGCTTTCGCGAATACGTGCGAACACATATGTGAGAATTTCGGAGAGAAGCGTTCAGAGAGTCTCGAGTCCGTTTTGCGAGACCGACGATGTGGCTCCGATGGCCTCCCTCGGCGATATGATGTCACGACGACTACGACAAATGATGATAAATTCGCGATCAATGTATTCTAAGTGTACTAATCGAACTGTGTATCGAGGCGAAAAAACGATTTGTATATGTATATACAATTACTATTATAATCTATTGAAGCAAGAGGAACATTATATAATAATGTGCAAATGTGTGCTTGAGAAGACGTGAGAAAGAGAAAATGAAGAGTGAAAGAGTAAGAGTGAGTAAGAGAGATTAGATAAAAGTGTCCGATAAAGTGTGGCAAAGACGGCAAAAACCGAGAACGGTAAAAATAATAAATACTGTAAAACTGTCTTTGTGTACTATATGACAAATGAAACAACAACCATACCTATAGTTGAAGCGTTTTGATCAGTATGAAAGAAAGAGAGAGACAGAGAGAAAGAAAGAAAGAAAAAGAGAGACAGAGCGCAATGGTATGGCCTGTTTGATATGGTATAGCCCTGTTTCTCGATTGCTTTGCATTTGTAATTTGTTTTGGCTTGGCGAGAAAGCACTAGAAATATAATCGGTCACCGATTGATGAGATGATGAGATCACGATGAGGATATTAGCCCATATACATCCGCAGTTTTTTTTTCTGGACGATCGAAGCAATCTAAAAGAGCGACGAAAGCCGAAGCCGACTTTTCGAGTAATCATCCTTAATATCTCCGCTCTTTTTAAATTCAATATATTTTAATTTCCATTTAACGAAAGACACTAATAAAAAGCTACTGAGAAGAATTTATTCTTTAATCTTGATTATTTACTCAAAGTGACTTAAAGTGAAGCAGATTTTACTTTTTAATTATTTATTTTTTTACTAATATTAGTAGCATAATATGTATTGTCGTAAAACGAAAACCGTGCGATCGATACGAAAAATGTTGCAAATATATACTTAATATATACTTAACGCTGGGTGTAAATGGATTAATCTCTACGCATCTTTGTTGCACCGCGGAGTGCATTTTCCTTCCGCTGTATCCCGCTCTTGCTAACGATTAAAGATCATATATATATATATAGCACTTACATATATATGTATATAAATGAACAATAAAAATGCAATATGCGTATATATTTATATATATATTGCATTTTTGTCTGGAAACGACAAACTGTTAAATTGTGAACAGGAAAGCTATCAATGATGTATTCTTATTTGATAGTGACAATTTTGTCTTTCACGCTATAAGAGAAAGTAAGAGCGCGAGTCAGCAAGGAAAGCTCTCTGCTTGTTGACCTGCAATAATTTGTGAAAATAATATAAATTAAAGCTATCGATTCGGAGCAGCTTTAACGTTGCTAGGGAGAGAAATTGCGTCGTTAGAAAATTTGATCTTTTCGCGCTATTCTGGCTGAAATCGTAATTAAGGAGTGAAGAATGGCTGATGAGATAATGAAGCATAATATTGTTATTTGCTTAAGTTTTACTCGGTGAAGAGTCAGTGGATAATGATTATAAGTAAGTGCGTTTTTGGCGGTAGCGATATTTATCTCGATATGCTATATTTGCTTAAAAGTATATCGAGTGTCAGTACTGTTTAAACATGTCTCGTAGATAAAATACGGGAATGATACGTTCTAATTAAACTCGTTTCACATTCTGCATTGATTCGTACCGATATTTTAAGCAACAAGGTGTTCCGAAAAGAATTGTATCCTCAAAAGAGAAAAAATTCAAACTCTTTATACGCTTAATTTTTTCTTAGAGAATTCCTAATTTTTTCATTTCTGATAATAAAGATCGGCGATACTTTATCAGATATTTCAAGATCGAGAAAACGATAAAAATAAAAAGAACTTATCGCTTAACGATTTTTGCAGTTTACATTCACACGAGTAATTTATCGTCGACAAATTTGCGGTAATTTGATTTATATTTTTCAAAAGACTTGTAAAATGTAGTAAAATTTCTGTTAAAATAATTCTAAGAAAATTTTATGTTTAAGTTATAGTAAAAATTACTGCTGTTTATTCTTTGAGCGATTTGTCAGGCTAATGTTGAATATATCAGATTTCGTAAACTTGTTTAATCAAATTTTATGTGAATGTAAATTGCAAATTATTTGTCGTGCACCGCCTTTTCTTTTTACCACTGACGTTTCAATTAAAACATACAATGTAGGTGTCGTCAGTCTAAACGAGTAATTGACTAATTACACGTTCGACTGGAATCGTCGTATTCATAATCTAATATTAAGCGCGCGATGAATGACGCGATAGATACATACACGCTTTTTCGGACACCATGTAAATTCGAGATACATCTTTATGGAAGCGGCAGGTCGAGAGAGTGCAACACATCCGATTTGTATTGTTTTCTTCAGCAGGCCGTCTTAGTTTTTCCGCCATGCGGTTACGTTTCACCGTAGGAGCAAATTAGGAACCGAAAGAGAAGAGTTCGCGTTCTTTAAATCGAATGCAGCCGCGATAGAGGAGGAACTCGCGAACTATACATACGTGCGTTGTATTTCGGTAGAATATTTTCGAAAATAGTCGCGAAACGCACTTCGAGCGTGCGCGGTCGTCTCGCTTGTTCGCGGTTTTCTCCGTTGTCGCCTGTTTGTCGAACCTAGTTGTCGAAGATGATGAAAAGAGGAAACGAAGCCTTTTTTAAATTAAACTGGAATGAACAAAATTCAATTGTGTTCTCCATCAACCGATCTGCTTGAATCCTTTCAATCCCCCGTCAAGAGAGCTTTAAGATCCCGTTAAGCTCACATATATTATAATTTTTAATACTGCAATACCTTCACAATCATACAAATACTTTTCAATTCAACGCGACATATCTAAATATTGATACAATAACTTCATAATAAGAAAAAAATGATATAATACAATACATAATTATTTTTATTTTTTTACATGCCGTGCATACATATTATCACAATTAGTTGCTATTGTTCATAAGAAATGCGTAATTTTATTGATTTATTTTAATTTTTCAAAATAGAGATCACTGTGCCAATAATTATTCAGTATTCTCTTTTAAAGAGGATGGTTTTGAATTTCTGCTCTATGCAGCTAAAAAACCGCCGTCTATAGGCAAGCAGACGCCGGTGATCATTGAACTAATTTCCTCGCTCAATAAGCAAAGAATGGGTTCCACTATTTCTGTAATTTCTGCAAAACACATTAATTTATAACAGAAAAATAATTGACATTTGTTAAGATAATCTAATAAAGTTAAAAATTAGTTTTTAAAATAGATTGCACACATAAGTATAAATATTTATTTTATATACTCGAATGTTCCAAAGACAACTAGTGGTATAACTGAAAAAATATTTATTTTATATACAAATACAAATATCGATCAAAAAGGTAAAATATTCTTTTGCACAAGGCTTTATTTTAAAGAAAAAGAACTTTAAGTATTTATTAGGAACACGTGCAGTGGATTTAGCCGATCCCTTACAACGGGATTGTGTGAAAAAATTTTATTCTTCACTTTCAACTTGAATTTGCTTGTAAAATTAATATCTTTTCGATTATACTAATTTAAGGACAGTATATATAAGCGATAAATAAAATTTATTTCTTAGGAAACAGATTGAGATCAATTTCATTTTTTATTTCAAGAATTAAATTAAAATTTAATATATATTTTATCGATATCAATGCTATTTCATTGATATCTGCAAAGTTTTATTTACTTTAGCAAATTTTTTATAAAAATATAGGATTGATTTAAATACTCCTCTATCTTTGTCAGACATAACACATGTCAAATATTAGCTGTCAGTTACTAATTACCTATTTTTCTCGTTAAGTGATCTGTCATGATATACGTCAGCTATACGTCAATGTCAGGATATTACGCAGATATGAAAAATTTCTTTCTAGTAATTCGTTAGACATTTATAAAGTAAAATTACTAATGATAAAATTACTGATGATATATAATATATAATATAAATTTTGTCGGATTGTTAGAAAAACAATCTCTTTTAATTGTGAAATTATTCTTTCTGATCTTTTAAATTGTAAATCGATAGATTATATCTTTTACAAATTATGAATTGCAAATTAAAAATAAATTACAAAATTATTTTAAATTTATCAATTCTGAAAATTACAAATCACGAATTATTTGAATTAATTATAGATTCTGTCTCTCGCACACAATGTATTCGTCTATTCCGGTCAAGCTGTGTTTGAAATTGATTAAGGCTGATCGATTATTTCAAATTAATATTAATTATATATTACATACCAGCAAATCGGCCAATAGGAACTCTGTCGAGTATCTTATATGCATTCTGTGGAATGGCCAAATTCAAAGCTATCTTATTTTCTATTAGATTGAATGTGGGATTTACGCTATTGACTCTTATATTGAACGGACCCAGTTCAAGGGCCATTGACCTAAAGTTATAACCAAATGCAAGATGTTAAATTTGATATTATATTTAACGAATTAAATTTGTTAAATTTGCTGTATTCGATATTAATTATCTTACTTCGTTAACATATTAAGAGCTGCCATGGAGGAACAAAAAAGAGCGTGATCTTTAATTGCAATATGACCGGCCAATGACGATATATTCACAATGCAGCCACCCTTTTTAGCCTCGATCATGCTTCTGGCTACAATCTGAGACACGTTCAATACAGCCTTCACATTGGTATTAAAAGACGAATCGTATTTCTCTGGCGTGATGTCCAACACGGGTGACACATCGTTGATGCAGATATTGTTGATCAATAAATCTATTGGCAGGATTTCCTGAATAGTTTCCCGGGTTGATGTCCAATTTTCAGGAATGATAAATCCATGAATTCCATTCAAGCAATTCATTAGCCACACTATGTTTGCTGGATCTTTACACATTACCAATACTTCTGCGTTACACACTATAAGCCTTCGCGCTAATTCTTTGCTGAGATCTGCGTTTAGTAATAAATTGACATTGAACAAAGCATATTTCTATTTAATCATAATGTGCATTATACATACCTTATACATACATCATAATTGTACATAATAATTTAAAAATTATATATTTTTATTTTTGTCGTCGCGTTGATCGATGCAAAAAAGATCTTAATCCGAATAAATTAATTTAATTAAATATATTCGCGGCATATAAATCGAAACATATATGTAATTGTCTACTAGTGTCAAAATAAAATTTTAGTTAAAAGCAAAAAGTAATTAGAAAATTGCTACTTTAAATGGTCTTGTAAAGATGTTTGAAAATCTTGATATTTTGTGCTTATAAACATATAAATAACCATCACATTTACAAATAAAATTATTTTTTTCTCCTAAAATATGTAATAATTCTGATTTGCGCATTATTTTAAATTTTGTTTATCTTAATTAAAATTGACTGCAAATTCGCAATATAACACGAAATAGTTAACTTTTCACATTTTAAAAGTTTATATTTTGGAAAAAATGTTTAATAAAAAATGTTAAGAAAGATAGAAACACAACATACGATCATCAGCACCATACAGGAGTACACGTTTTCCTTCGAAGTTGTGTAACATCGTCAACTACGTCGCTAACTATCACTATAGTAGGCAGTTCAGCAATACTTATAGACGTTTATCTCTGGTAATTTCACGTTTAACACGCAATCTTTAATATCCTCCTCGATGCTTTTTCTATAAAGTGTGCATAAGTTGGTGTGTCAATAAAAGCATATTTTGACCGATGAGTCTTGTCCTTATTTTTCTCTCGCTTGCGCTGCTCTTCTACTACCTAAAATTTGATATATAACGCACCCGTTGATTTATATTAACTTGATCAGATTGTAAAACAATAACTTTATATTTTACTGATCTTAATTATTATAGATTGCAAATTCGTAGTATAACGTGTAACAAAATTGTGATGTTAAATAAGGAAAAGATGTGAAAGGGGATCTGTGACTGTAAAAGAATCATTGCGAGCAATTTCACGATTTACATTTAGAGTTAATAAACTCGGTTATAATGGAAAAGTCGAAAGAAATTGATAAGAATAAAGCGCATATTAAGATGATACTCGTAATACTTTTTTCTCGACTTTTGAATTACAATAATTTAGAGTAACTTACAATAGTTTGCAGGATGAAGCACTCGGTTTTCGCTCTTGACGACGACTATTGTTATCGAGTTTCGACAAGATACTGACGCTCGCTTTCACAATTAGACAGCATGACCTATCACAGTTTACACATAAACATTTTATCGGTTTGCAGGAGATCCTCGCAAACACTCATTTCAACAGTTTTGTGAAAAATAAAAATAAACATTTTCAGCATATACTACGGATCTTGCAAGCAATGGTTCCTACAATAATATATTTCTCTAAATTCTAAAAGTTAACATTTTAAGCAAAATATTTAACGGAAAAAAGTACAAATACAATATATTTTAATCGGTCGCGAGAAAGCATTTTCTTTTAAAGCTGAGCTTCAGCGGACTGTCGGCTAAATATCAGAAATCTTGACGGCGACACGCAATATTTATATACATTTATCTCTGACAATCTCATGTTTATCACTTAATCTTATTGTCAGATATTGTTCCTCTTGATGCTTTTCCTGTGAAGTATGCGTACATTAATGAATTAAAATGTCCTTTAGTGAACGTACAATGCACACATCAATTTTATTATGCACATAAACAATTATAGTATATAATTATTTAGTATATAATTACTTATCATTATTCATAAAAAATGCATTAATTTATTAATTTCCGTAGATATTAAAAGTTGAAACAGACCGATATATCTATAATTATTGAATAAATATTTAATTTATAATCTAATATTTTTTTAAACAATTGTCTTTATGTAGCTAAGAAACCACCGTCGACAGGCAAGCAAACGCCATTTATCATGGAACTGTGGTCGCTCAATAAGTATAGAATGGGTTTCACTACCTCATCAACTTCTGCAACAGGTTAATAATAAAAATGTATTTTAATATCCCAATCGAACCAACTATGAAAGTGATTAAAGGTGATGTATTATTTCGAATTAAAATTAAATGCTACGTACCAGCAAATCGACCAAGAGAAGTTCTGCTGATCATTTCATGCGCTTTTTGTGGATCGCTCCAACCTAATTTGCCTCTTTCCGTCAGGACGATCGTAGGATTGACGGCATTAACTCTTATATTGTGTGGACCGAGTTCGAGGGCCATTGTCCTAATATTCCGATAAAACACAAAATGTTAAAAATAGAGTATATAAAAATTAGAATATGTCAAAATCAAAACCGTATTTTTTATGTCACACATTTTCAAATAGTATCGAATCATTAAAATATCGGATTGCAATTATTTTAATTTGTTTATGATTAAATTATAAGGATTTAAACAATAATTTATTCATCTTTTTCCAATTAAACTCCAAAAAATAAGATTAAATGACGCAACATTTTTCTTCTATTTAATCTTAAGCGAATTTTATTTTAAATACTTTTTAAGTAGATCAAATATTTATTAATAGACAATCGGCGTGAACTTGATCATTAAGAGCATTTCTGGATTATTCATTTCTAAACTTTTTTTAACATTTTATACATTTATGCAATAATTCTAAAATAATTCTAAATTACGAGCGATCTTTGTCTTACGTCTCTCCTGTGTTGAGCTGCTGAAACGCAAATGTCAAAGTTTTATCAGTATATCCGACATTAATTATCTTACTTTGTTAACATGTCAAGAGCTCCCTTGGACGTGCCATAAACGGCGTGATCTTTCACTGCCACCTGACCGGCCAGTGACGATACATTTACAATGTTGCCGCCGCTTTTGCGCTCGATCATGTCTCTGGCTACAATCTGAGATATGTTCATTACACCCTTTACATTGACATTAAAAGTCAAATCGAATCCCTTAGGCGTGGTGTTCAAGAAGGGCGATAAGCATACGACAGCAGCATTGTTGACTAACAAATCGATCGGCAGGATGCTCTGAACGGCTTTCCGGGTCGCATCCCAGTCCTGAAGATCAACGCAGACCGGCTGAATTTTCGGGTCGGCTGCTATCAAGCTGTCCAAATTCTTCTTCGTCTTCGAAAGTGCAAATACTTGTCCCTTATACTTGGAAAGACGTAGAGCCAATTCTCTTCCGATGCCTGCGTTTAATATAAATAAATGTGTAAATAAATTTACACTGAATAAAGCGTCTTTGTATTCAATTAGCGTAATAATTTAAAAATTCGAAAATGTTTTTTTGCATCACGTTGATTCGATGCAAAAACTCTTCTCCTTAATGCAAACATATTAATACAACCAATTGTATTCCGAAGAGGTAAATCAGAACGCATATGCAAATGCAACTGTAGTATTCACATTAAGTTGAAAGCAAAGAGCGATTATAAAAAATTACTTTTTTAAATAGCCTTGTAAATATACGATGTTTAAAAGCCTTTCTTGATATCTTATGTTGATTAACTAAAATACATAGTAATCGTCAAATTTTAATATAATTAGATCTCCTTCGAATATCAATTCTTAGTTAGGTCTTCAACTAGTTTGCCATGTTCTCTCGGACGGTACGGACTCCTAAATATCTCTGAAGGCAGACTGACTCGATACATAGTTTAAAAAAAAAAAAATAAAGTTGAGTACACATAAAATTTGCAAATTGGGTGACACAACATGAGAATTTTACTGTTATGCATTGAGAATAATGGTAATCAACCGTAATCAAACATAAAGACTCAATTCTTGATAATATACCGGGTTATAATAAAAATGTTAAATATGACAGCTTTCTTCTTTTTTTTTAATTAATAATTTGGAGGTTTGTTGTTATTGGATTGAGTATGGAATTGATGAAATGTTTTCCAACTATGGGCTGGATGTTTTCAAAAGTAACGATTTTATATGATGAATTTAACGTATTATGTTCCGAGATGACTTTGTTTAATAATTGTTTTATGTAATAACTGTACTAATAATTTTAAGGAATAATTGTACTGAAGATGACCACATCCGAATGGTCGAAACGTATAGATTTTATTTAATGTTATAAGATTTAATAAACTGAGCATGTCCAACTAGCTCTGGCTCTGCAGCTCGTCTTTAATAATTTATTTTAATAATTCGAGCCAAAAATTGTAATATTTAAATTATTTAATTAGATCTATTTTTTTTCTTCTAAAATATGTGATAAATGCGACTTATACTAATTATAATCGATTATAAGATTGCAATATATAACAGTTAAACTTTTACGTTCTGAAAGGTACTATTTTCAGGAAAATATTCTCGAAAAATAATAAAGAAAAGTAGAAACACCACGTACCTTGTCCAGCACCGGTCACGAGAATGCGTTTTCCTTGAAAGCACAAATTCATGTCTGTCGATTAACTATCCGGAAATAAAGCAATACACGCATATTTATAGGTACACGTTTATCTGTGATGATCTCACATTTATCAATAATCTTTGATATCCTTGTACCACTTCTTGGTGCTTTTTCTGAAGTATGTATAAAGTAAAGTGCCAATGAGAGCTTATACCGGATGTTTCCTCTTGCGCTACACTCCCACTACTTCTTATTTGATACATATGTATAACACTTGTTAGCTTATTGATTCGTTTAGATCATAAAATAATAATTTTCTATTTTATTAATTAAAATTATAATAGATTGCAAATTTACAAATATTATTTTATCACAATTTCATTAAATTTCATCAAATTTGCTGTCAATCTGCCAACACATTGCTAATATTTCACTATCTGAATAGGTAATATTTACATTTTAACATTTAATATCTTGGAAAAATAAGTAAAGGTAGGGATATAATGTACTCCATTTAGCTATTACCTGGAAATTGGGTAACAACGCATGATACTTACACACGTTTATCTTTGATACTATCATGTTTATATTTAATCTTTTATAAGCGTAATCTTTTATAAAACCGGATACATTTTAGCAAAGCTTCCTTTTACACCCACTTTATATGTAAACATCTTGAATAAAGCATATATTTCACTGAAAAATTTCAAATATTTCGTGAAATATTAATTTTTTGTCATCATGGTCTTACCGTAATACTTTTATACACAGATTATTCAGAAGAATCAATTTATGCAAAAAAGTATATAATTCCATTAAAAAGAAGTGCAGATGCATTTTTCTGATGCACGAAAAAAATGACTTGATAGAATAATTTTTATGTTATGCCATTTAACTTTTGCCTCTATTATTTTTTTTCTATCTTCAGTAGAACAAATGCTAGAGGCCAGCCCAATTTCGGACCATTCTATATAACGTATTTGCTACCTTATTAACTTGCTTAGATTTGAAAACAATGTAGATAGATAAAGATTAGACAATTGTTATGGTCAGATCAAATTATAATGCCAGACACAAAACATCAAATTTTATAAATAAAAATTGTTTTTATGCGCTATATGTCGAATTATATGATTATTTAATTATTTCGTATATTATTATTCGTGTTCAATATACACATAAAATGTAATAATTCTGTTTCTTGATCCCTTAGCATTAATAAATCATTATAATTGCAGTCGATACTACGTTATTATCATCAGGTGAGCAGCTATTTCCTTCTCATATATATCTCAAAAGCAAAGAACTGTGGGTTATTAACTTCGTCAACCAGTTTTGTCCTAAATAAGAATCACTCGAGATTCCGATTACCGCACAACTGTGGGTTATTAACTTCGTCAACCAGTTTTGTCCTAAATAAGAATCACTCGAGATTCCGATTACCGCACAAATCCTCGCATACAAAAATAGTAGCAAATTTAAATAAGTTTTATCCCTTAACACGTTCCGTGCCCAGTCGTTCTTGCGTGACCACCGATAGTTCACACTGACGTATTTATTATTTCAGCTCAAAATGTATATATTATAATAAATTTAAAATCAGTGTATTATCAAAATAGTGTAGAACAAAAGAAATAAGTTGTGAAATGTTTTATGTTAATGTATTTGTTTATACAAAATATTAAACGGCCTGAATAGAAAGCTCAGCGTGGACCATCAGTGGTACACGCTGAACTTTCCACGGAACGTGTTAATATTTTTAAAACTCTTAATATTTTTTTTAACATTTCATTCTGATTTGTTTAATTCACGTAACTGACTTATAAAGTATAATTAAATACAATGCACACCGTTAATTACTTTATTGATTTTCATATAAAATGTTTATTAGATATAAAATTATTTAGATATAAAATGTTGAATATACAGACATAATATATTTATAATTATTCTTTTAAAGACCAGAGTTTTGCATTTCTGCTCTATGTAGCTAGAAAACCACCATCGACAGGCAAACAAACACCATTAATCATGGAACTGTGATCGCTCAGTAAGTATACAATGGGATCCACTACCTCGTCAACCTCTGTAACATATTAATGCAATTTTGAATCAATGTTCACAGATTGTAATTCATTATCCGGGACAAACCATCTTTGAAATTAATTAGAAGCTAATAAATTAAATCTTCGAATTAAGATCATTTTACACACCAGCAAATCGATTGAGAGGAATTTTGTTGATCATGCTAGCTGCCTTCTGCGGATCGCTCCAACCCAATTTGCCCATTTCCGTCATCACAACCGTAGGACTCACAGCATTGACTCTTATATTGTGTGGACCCAATTCGAGGGCCATTGACCTAAAAATACGATCAAATACAAAATATAATAAATTAAATAAGTAAAAACTTAAAGACGTATTTTTTATATAACATATTTTTAAACTGTACGAAATCAATATTTCTTCAATAATATATCAGATTTTAAATATTTTACTAGGTGCGCAACTAAGTTTCCGGGTTTTTTATCAATGCAAAATGGAAAATTTCAAGAGAAATACAAAAAACGGTTTATTCAAAATATCGTCCCTCGCTAGCTACACATTTTTGCCATCTCTCTGGCAATACATGAATACCGCGACGATAAAACGACGCGTCTTTGAATCGAAACCATTCATCCAACCAATTCTGCACTTCTTCGAAATTGGCCAAGTGTAGCCCAGCCAAGCCATGCGCCATCGACCGGAACAAGTGATAATCGGAAGGGGCCAGGTCTGGTGAATACAGCGGGTGCGG